AACGCAGAGTCCTCAGACCTGCGAAGATACCGGTGTCTCTGATATGGGGTATCTCGGATACAGGGCGTCTCTGATACGGGGTATCAGGGCAGCATGATACAGGAAGTCTCTGATACGGGGTATCTCTGATACGAGGTATCTCTGATATGGAATATCGCTGATATAGGCATCTCAGATACGGGCATCTGATACAGCGACTCTCACCTGCCCAGGACCCCATTAGTTGTCCCAGTGAGGGGCTGCTCATCCCCCCCAGTCCACAGGGCCCCCACACCCCAAGTCCTCACCACCTCAGGGCCGTGTCACACTGGGGTCCCCATGTGCACCCCAGTTCTTGCTGGCCCTGGGCCCTGAGCTTGTGTCTAGTGGGGGGTGGCTGCCCTTCCCCACCCCCAGAGCCTCGGGCACCCACCCATGGGGCGTTGGGCTCCCGGAGTAGGGGGCCTGCTGTCTCCTGGGTGCTGGGTGCAGGCTCCCTGTGTGTGGTGCGGTGTGTGGGTGCAGGGGGAGGCAGACCTGACCAAGGCCTTTCCCATCCCGGCTGACCCTGTCCCCACCCGGGAGGGGCTGGGAGGAGCGGCCGTGCTGACCCCCCCACGGGTCGAAGTTCCCCCATTGACGCCCGCCCGCCCCCATTATCAGTCCCTGCGGCTGTAAACTGGGCTCGGAGACATCCCAAGGACACGCGATAAGCACCACAGGAACATCTCCGCCACGGCCCTGCCCCGTGCCCGGGCACACAGGGGTAGGACCACGTTGGGCCTGGCAACCGTGCCACCCCAGCACCAAGGGGCCAGAGTCCTCAGGCCAGCGGCGGCCGCGCCACACTGGCCCCCGGGAGCCCGAGCCGGGGGCCCTCAGGGCCTGGCACCCACCCTGGGGAGGACCTCTGGGGACCACGAGGGCAGTGGGAGCTGGGCCAGGGCAGATGGGAGCCAGGCTGAGGGTGCGGCCAAGGAAGGCCATAACAGGGACACTGCCTGGACCCCCAGGAGCCCCCCAGGGATCCCCTAGGCCCCTCTGTTTATATGAGGGTCACACCCAACAGTGCTCAGGGTTTACTCCTAGGCCTGTGCTCAAGATCACGCCTGGCCGTGCTCAGGCCACCAAATGGGGTGCTGGGGACTAAACCCCGGTCAGCTACACGTAAGGCGGGTGCCCTGTCCACCGCACTTCCTCTCTGGTCACAGCCCCGTGTCTGTCTAGAGCCACCGCACCCTCCTAGACCTCCCGGATAGGCCCAGATTGAAGGGGCTGGCAGTGCCCACCATGGGAGCCTCCCTGGGCTCTACCACACACACACACTCTAAACACCCCCCCACACCACAACCCCACACACCGCACCCCCCAAACACAGCACATACACATAGCACATACCCCCCCCACACACACCCACACCCCCCCACACATTCCCCACACATACACCACACACACACACACACACACACACACACACACCACACACCCCTGCTCCTATCCAGCAAGCCCCCGCCACCCTGAGATCAGTGACCCCCACCTTCTGCACCATTTCTGGGAGTGGGGGAGGGGCACGGTGCCGGGCCTGGAACCCAGCACCCGCCCTCCATGCCCATCCATGTTCCCGTGGCAGGTGGTTACCCCGTAGGCCACCAGAGTCAGCACTGCAGGCCTCGGCCTCCAGGTGCTGATCTGGGGTCCCAACCCCGCCTGCTGACCACCCATCACGGCCACACCCACCCCCATGTTCCATCCTACAGACATACCAGCGTGTGTGCCCCCACCTGTCCCAGACTCAAGGGGACACCCCAGAGCCACTGCAGACTGGGGGTCACACATGCACATACACAAAACACACACAGGCACACGTGAGCACACCAAACACACACAGACGCATGGCACCCAACATAGGCTCACTCGTGTGGTCACCCATGCATACTGTGTGCACACGTGCACCTACAGAATATGCACATGCACATCACACACAGAACATACCCAATGCACACACACACACATCACCGATTCATGGACACTCATGCGTGCACGGCGCAGGTATTCTGTCGCTGTGTCCCCATGGACACCTATGCTCCCACCGGGCCTCAGTCAGCCCCGCAGTAGGCCCCAGCCACACGGCACCCACCGGCGGGGACAGTGGAGGGGAGAGGGGTGTGGGAGCCTTGTGGGCGGCGGAGGGGAGAGGGGCGTGGGGCCCGCGGGGGCAGCTATCCACTCGGCGAAGGGGGCTGAGACCAGGCCTGAGCCCGGGACAGACAGCAGCGGGCAGGAGCCCGGGACAGTTGCAGGAGAGCTGGGCAGGTGGCCAGGGACACACCCAGACAGGCAGGTGCTCACTGGGGCATGCGCGTGCCGAGCCCCACTCTTCAGAGCCCCACCACAGGCTAATCAGGGCGGAAAGCGTAGATATGGGTTGGGGAGGCGGCCGGTACCAGGCAGAGGCTGACTTGGTGATCAGCCCTGGCCCATCCTGTGCTGGGAAGGCGCCACCCAGGGCCCCCCCGGAAGGGCCGCTGCCTGGACACTGTCCCTCAGGGACACACGGGGAGTGCTGAAGTTTGGCTCCTGGCACAGTGCTCAGGGATCACTCCTGATGGACTTGCGGACCCACACGGGGTGCCGGGGACCAGCCGCGCCAAGGCCAGCACCCTGCCTCTGTCCTCTGGCCACACTTTCTCTCCCAAAGAGGGTCTGCTGGCCAGAAGCCAGACACAGGACCACGCCCTAAGTCTGTTCTTCCCTGTGGAGGGCTGGGTACCACTCTGCCGGTGGTCAGTCTCCCCTCTCCAAGGGATATGAGACCCCCGACCGCCTTCCCTGGCCTGCCACAGGCCCAGGTGCTGGGAATGAAGCGAGGCACGTGCCTGACTCCCAGTGCGCCCCTAGGCCATCGTGACCCCATGGCCAACAGGCAGAGGAGAGGGGATGTCTGTGACAGACGTGGTCCTGCACTCCAGACAGTTCCCAGGCTCCACCAGCACCGCCCCAGTGCCAGAGCAATTCCAATAAAGCCCGCAGAGCCCGCGGACGGAGAGAGCGGGGGCAGCCCCAATTCTGTCCTCAGTGACCACCAGGGCCAGCAACTGTCCTGGCTGAGAGGCGTCTGCCCGGCCCGCAGTTCCCACAGTGGGCAGAGGAGGCCCAGGCCCGCCCGGCATCCGTGCTCTTTCCCAGAGCCGGCAGCACAGGTGCGGCAGGGGCCCAAGGGCCAGTTCTGGAGCCCCACGAGCCAAAGGTCCACTGACTGCCTCAGTTTCCCCACTGTTGGGGAAGGTCTGCCCGGGCTGGGACAGGGCACGCCGCCCCACGGGTGCGGAGAGGGGCGCGCACACCAAACGGGGGTGTCCGAACACGCAGACCGGCGTGTCCACCTCCCGCCGGACCCCGGCGGGAACAGGCAGACCCAGGCTGTTCCACCAGCGACCGGCGCTCCGAGGCTCAGGTCTGGGCCCCGCCAGCCCCCGTCAGCCCGCAGCCCCGGGGGCCAGCGTCAAGGGCTGGCCCGACCACACTGCCCACTCTGCCCTGGGGTCCTGGGCAGACTCAGAGCTCAAGGAGGACGGAGACAGAGACCCTGGAAGGAGGCTGGGTGGCACGTGACCTGCTTCTTTCCCCCCCCATTGTTGATGACACGTCACGTGGTCTGACATTACCGCGCAGCATGCTGGGAAATGTAGTCTTTACTCCTGGCAGCCATGTTTCCCACGGAGCAGGGGGAGAACAGGCAATGGAAGACAAAACGCACCAGTCACAGGCTCCCCCATTGCCCCTGCCCAGCCGGGTCACTCACCCGCCAGCCAGGCTGGTGACCCAACATCCCGTCACCTACAGGCGGCCCTTACCTGGACGTCTTCCTGCCCACCCGCTCCGCTGACCCTCCCGTGGGCACTGACCATCCCATGGGACGCTCTCCTGCATCCCCATCCCTGCAGGGGGCCTGTCCCTGGCTGTCCAGATGCACGACAGTCAGGAACCCTCCCCAGGGAAGCAGGACCCACCGCCATCCCGCAAAGGAAGCCACTGGTGAGGGCGGGGGCGGCTGCAGGGATCCAGTTCCATGTGGGACATGTGTGCCCCATTAGACACGACAGCCTCCCCTATCAGACAGCCTCCCCCATCAGACACGACAGTCTCTCCATCAGACACGACAGTCTCTCCATCAGACACGACAGTCTCTCCATCAGACATGAAAGCCTCCCCCATCAGACACAACAGCCTCCCCCATCAGACACATCAGTTCCCACCATCAGACACAACAGCCTTCCCCATCAGACATAACAGCCTCCCCATCAGACACAACAGCCTCCCCCATCAGACATGACAGTCTCCCCCATCAGACACGACAGCCTCCCCCATCAGACACATCAGTCCCCACCATCAGATACAAATTTCCACCATCAGACATGTCAGCCTCCCCCATCAGACACGACAGCCTCCCCATCAGACATGAAAGCCTCCCCCATCAGACACAAGTCCCCCCCCTCAGACACAACAGCCTCCCCCATCAGACACATCAGTCCCCACCATCAGATACAAATTTCCACCATCAGATATGACAGCCTCCCCCATCAGACATAACAGTCTCCCCCTATCAGAGACAATAGTTCCCCCATTAGACACATTAACTGTTTGTGGCCTCTTGGCTCCAGAACATTCTGATGTGGACATGCTCATAGGAGCCTCAGCTTCCTGTACCCCATCCTTGGCATTCCCTCCTCACTCCCGTCTCCGTAAGGGGCCCCAGGGAGAGGCGCTGGGGTGCCATGGGGTCCCCACGGACAAGGCTCCTGGACCCAGGGCCCACGGCAGCCCCTGCCCAAGGCCAACCAGAGCAAGGGGAGGGACCGGGCTATCCCCTCACCCCCGGGGATGCACGCGCCAAGGGCGGGGTGCCCGGCCCAGCTCGTGCTGCAGATATAAGTGGAGGCTGGGAGCAGGAGCAGGTGCAGGGGCTGCAGTGGGCGCGGCGGGCACCCGTGAGCCTGGGACTTTGCACCTGCTGAGCCGTCATGGACGCCAGGGCTGCCCTCCTGGTGCTGCTGCTGACCGCCCTCCCCACCCCTGGGCCTGCAGTGCCCACGGCGCCCACCAGAGAGCTCAGCTCCCGGCACAAGCTGCTGCTCGTGTCCTTCGACGGCTTCCGCTGGGACTACGACCAGGACGTGAACACCCCCAACCTGGACGCCATGGCGAGGGAGGGGGTGAAGGCCCGCCACATGACGCCCGCCTTCGTCACCATGACCAGCCCGTGCCACTTCACCCTGGTCACCGGTGAGCCCTGCCGCAGGGAGAGGGAGCCCGGGACCCCAGGGGCTTGCCTGGTCTGCGCAGGACAGTCGGGGAGGGTCCAGGTTCTGTCCCCAGAACCCCCTCTGGTCCCCTGAGCACGGCCGGGAACCCAAACCAAACACAAACAACCAGAGGCTGCTTCAGGGGCCTGGGGTCCGGCTTCGGGCGGGCAGGGGTGCAGCCTCGGGCTCTCTCTGGCTTTCTCTGCAGCCCCCGCCCATCACAGCTCTGCCCTGTGCCCCGGGGTGAGCAGAGACCCCACTTCCACATTGCGCATCTGCCAGGCTCTGGTGGAGACTGCAGGGACTGCTCCGTGCCTTGCCCCGTGGCCATCTCGCCCTGCGCTTTCCAGGGACAGGCCACCCTGGGGGCCCCATGGTGCCCAGCGTGACTCGGTGCCCCCCTCCCCCAGGCAAGTACATCGAGAACCACGGCGTGGTCCACAACATGTTCTACAACTTGAGCAGCAAGGTGAAGCTGCCCTACCACCCGACGCTCACCAAGGAGAGCTGGTGGGACAACGGCAGCCTACCCATCTGGATCACTGCCCAGAAACAGGTGCATGGGGGGCAGTGGCCGGGCACCGGGCCAGGGTGGTCTCCTCGTGAGCCAGATCAACCTGCAGGGTGCCCCTCCCTCGGGGATGGACCTGCCAGCCCCACCTCATAGGCACAAAGCCGGGCAGGGGCGCTGGGCGGGCGGTTAGTGGACAGACAAGCACGGGTGTCCCCAGGGATCCTGCAGTTTGTTCCTGCAGACTCGTGACCAGGTGGACAGCAGGAGGACGGCGGCTGAACGCAAGCACTGGGGGGGAGGGGGGCCGCTGGCAGTGGGGGCGGGTGCAGGCAGTACAGACCCGGGCCAAGAGTCCCACACCTGCGGCCAGGAAGCCTGACTGAGGGCGCCTCCTCGCAGGGCTTGAAGACCGGCTCGTTCTTCTTCCCAGGCGGGAACGTCACCTACCAGGGCATGGCAGTGACGCAGAGCCGCCGGGAGGGTGCCCTTCACAACTACAAGGACGAGAAGGAGTGGAGGGCCAACATCGACACGGTGCTGGGCTGGTTCACGCGCGACGGCCTGGACCTCGTCACGCTCTACTATGGGGAACCTGACTCCACCGGCCACAAGTTTGGGCCCGACTCGGAGGAGAGGAAGAGGATGGTGGAGCAGGTGGACCGCACGGTGGGCTACCTCCGCGACAGGATCCGGCAGGAGGGCCTGGAGCACAGCCTGAACCTCATCATCACATCCGACCACGGCATGAACACCGTCAAAAAGAATGCGTCCGACCTGGTGGAGCTCCACAAGATCGCCAACTTCAGCTTCAAGGACATCTACTTCGAGCTGGTGGACTACGGGCCCAACGGGATGCTGTACCCCAAGGAGGGGAAGCTGGACCAGGTGTACGAGGCCCTCAAGAATGCCCACCCTAAGCTCCATGTCTACAAGAAGGAGACATTCCCCAAGGAGCTGCACTACGCCAACCACCCGCGGGTGACGCCCCTGGTGATGTACAGCGACCCTGGCTACGTCATCCACGGGGTAAGGGGCTGTCCGTTGCACCCCAAGTTCGGGCCAGCCCTCTGTGGGAGGGGCGTCAGACCAGGGACGCACCCCGTCCTGTGCAATGGTGTATGTGCATGCGGGCGTGTATGTGCGTGTGCATATGTGCTGGCTCGTATGTGCATATGTTGGGTGTGTGCAGGGTGCTTCTGTGTGCATGCTGGGCGCGTGGGTGAGATTGTGCAGGGAGAGGTGGGAGAGGGTGAGCACTCAGCAGGACGAGGAGGTGGTGTGAGGGTTCAGTCAGCAGAGACCAGTGCTGAGGGGGCAGGGGGCAGCGTTGGGGTGCTAAGGGTGTAGAGTTGGGTGCTGAGTGTAGAGAGTTGTGTACGCTGAGAGTGTGCTGAGCATGCAGAATTGAGGCACAGAGCTAGAGTGCTGAGTGTGCAGAGTTGGGTGCAGAGTTGGGTGCTGAGTGTGCAGAGGTGGGGTACAGAGTTGGGTGCAGAGTTGGATGCTGAGCGTGCAGAGTTGGGGTACAGAGTTGGGTGCTGAGCGTGCAGAGTCGGGGTACAGTTGGGTGCTGAGGTTGCAGAGTTGGGTGCTGAGCGTGCAGAGTTGGGGTAGAGTTGAGTGCTGAGTGTGCAGAGTTGGGGTAGAGTTGAGTGCTGAGTGCAGAGTTGGGTAGAGTTGGGTGCTGAGGTTGCAGAGTTGGGGTACAGAGTTGAGTGCTGAGTGTGCAGAGCTGGGGTACAGTTGGGTGCTGAGCGTGCAGAGGTGGGGTACAGAGATGGGTGCAGAGTTGAGTGCTGAGTGTGCAGAGTTGGGGTAGAGTTGAGTGCTGAGTGCAGAGTTGGGTAGAGTTGGGTGCTGAGGTTGCAGACTTGGGGTACAGAGTTGAGTGCTGAGTGTGCAGAGTTGGGGGTAGAGTTAGGTGCAGAGTTGGGTGCTGAGCTTGCAGAGTCAGGGTACAGAGTTGGGTGCTGAGGGTGCAGAGTCAAGCACTGAGGGTGCAGAGTCAGGGTATAGAGTTGGGTGCAGAGTTGGGTGCAAAGTCAAGGTGCAGAGTTGGTGTGTAGAGCAGGGCCACAAAGCTGGGGTGTAAAGTCGGGGTACGGCGCTGGGAAAGGAGCTTGGGCAGGCTCTGCTCGGGGCTCATACCCTTTGCTTGGGAACTCAGTGAGTCCCACGAGGCCTCCCCAGGCTTTGGCGCTCTGAGCCTCCCAATGCCCGTGCAGGCCGGGCAGGGTGCTGGGCCTCGCAGAGACAGGCCTCTTCTTGCAGAGGATCAACGTGCAGTTCAACAATGGGGAGCACGGCTTCCACAATGACGTCATGGACATGAAGACCATCTTCCGGGCTGTGGGCCCCAGCTTCAAGCAGGGCCTGGAGGTGGAGCCCTTCGAGAGCATCCACGTGTATGAGCTCATGTGCAAGCTGCTGGGCATTGTGCCCGAGCCCAACGACGGGTCCCTGTCCACGCTGCTGCCCACCCTGCATTCAGGTGAGCCCACCCACAGGCGGCAGGAGGCGGGAGGCTGAGGTTTGGTCAGTCAGGCCCTCGGCCAGGGTCCTGGGGCTCCTGCAGCCACATGCCCATGGCGGGGGGTGGGGCCTGCCAAGCCCCCCATCCCCACCCTGACACAGCTCACCCCCTCTCTCAGGGTCCGCCCTCCTGCCCAGGGGCCCCATCTCGCTGGTGACCATGCTGCTGGTGGCCATGTTCCTCCTGGTCCATGTGGTCGTGTAATGTCCTCATTCAAGGTCAGAGGCTGGGGAGCGGGGGCAGGGGAAGGGGGAGTTTCACCCTCTAGCCCATGCCCCGGGATTCCTGAAGAGTCCGGGATACCCCCTATAGCCCCAAGCTGGGGGGTCGCCTGAAGGGTCCACATCGCAGGGCAGGGCAAGTCCTTGGATGCCTGGCACCAGTGTCAGGGCCTGACTAGGGGGTTCCAGCAACACCTCGACAGTTGCCTGTTGCATCTCAGGTCCCAGATGCAGGGATGGGGGGCAGAGGGGAGCCGGCGCTGCCAGTCCCCACATCATTCCCCGTCCTCCACCTCCTCCACCCAGCTCAGGGGGCCCTGTCCCTCTCTCTGGCCCCGCTGGACCCCCATGTCTTTGTCCCTACAGGCCCCTCTCCCAGGAAGCCACGCGAGTCCTGCGCCTGAGCCTGTACCTGTACCTGGGTTCCCTGCACAGGACCCTTGGCATCCTGCCCGGCCCCCAGCTGCTGACCACGCCCCCTTGTACTGACTACGCCCCACGCCCCGCCTCCACATACTGACTCCGCCCCTGCGCCCTGACCACGCCCGGGCCCCTCCCCTCTGAGCCCTGCCCCTGCGCTCTGACCCCGCCCCCTAAGTCCATCTGGCATCAGTCCCGGCTCCAACAGCCGCGCCCCCTGCTGGTCCCAGGGAGACTCACTCCCCACCCACCAGGACAACTGGCCAAGGGGTGCCCATGGGTGAGATCTTCGCAAACGATGAGAATGAGCCAGGACCTATCCCTGCGCCTCGGGGCTCCACAAGAGGGAAGCACAGAAGGGCCGTGAGCAGAGACTCAGCTCAGGGCTCTGCCACGCCCTTGGCACAGCCTGGCACTGCCAACTCCAATGCCCAAAAATCAAAATAAAAAGCAGAGGAAAGCTCTTGGGGTCGGACCCCCGCTGTTTCTGCCGCCATGGGGGTGCCGAAAGGGGGGAGGGAGCACTCACTGATGCCAGCCTCAGTTTCCTCATCTGCACCTTCAGGAACCCGGCAGCCCCCTGGGTGCCCACTTCAGTGGTCGCAGACAACTGAAAAGAAAGTGGTCAGTCATGAAAAGCGGTGCAGGGCAGGAGCGGTCTCGGTCTCCTCTGCCCTGTCCACCCCATTAGCACCTGTTTCCCCAGAAGGAGGCTCCTGAGGGTTTGCTAACCCTTTGGCCTCCCCCACCCTCTGCGCCTCACCCCACCCCCTTCCAGCACGGGGCAGTGAGCAGGTGCCGGCCGGGTTGGCAGCAGTCACCTATCTGAGGTCTCCTTCAGTTGGGGTGTGCTGCCAGCTTCCCACAGACATGTGCCCTGGAGGTTTCTTCCTCGGTGGGGAGGAGCTTCGGCCCTTGTCTTCATGTAGCTGTAGCCGCTGCAGCCTGGGTTTGAATCTGGAGCCACACGTGGGCCCTGAGCACCACAGCGGCCACTCCTGGGTACGGAGCCAGGAAGAGCCCTTGGGCACAGCTGGGTCTGGCCAGGCCCCGCCCCAAGCAACAGCAAAGGAACAATGACAAAAGTGAAGGGCCGGAACACTGAGGGAGACCCAGCCTCAATCCCCACACCTGGTCCCCAAGAAATACCAGGATAGTCAGGCCGGAACAACATCACAGCGGGGAGGGCGCTTGCCTTGCACGCGGCTGACCTGGGTTCAATTCCCAGCATCCCACATGGTCCTCCAGAACCACCAGGAGTGATTTCTGAGGGCAGAGCCAGGAGTAACCCCTGAGCATCGGCTGGGTGTGACCCAAAAAGCAAAAAAAAAAAAAAAAAAAAAAAAGAACTCCCAGGAGTGACGGTCTTCATGTAGCATACTGGGTGCAGTCCCTGGGCACCACCGGTGTGGCCACAACACACACACACAACTAATCTTCAGGGGCCCCGGGCACAGAGAGCCTCCTGGCAGTCATGACTGAGGCCACAGGTCCAATCCCCACACTGCCCACATGACAGGCGCAACCCCAGGGGCTTCTGCTGCCTGTGAGCCATGCTCAAGGGGGTCTCCTCGCAGCCCATGCAAGCAGGGCCCTGCACGCCACACCCCTGTGTGAGCAAGCACCTCAGAGGGACCTTGGGAGCCCCGCACCTGAAGCCAGAGCTGCCCAGGGCTGGCCCCCACTGCCCTGCACGGCAGCCAGAGGGGCAACCCGGCCTGTTCGGCGCGTGTGCTGGGGTGTTGGGCAGGTGTGAGCTCCCTCCTGCCCATCCGTCCCGGGAGCAAACGCTCCTCCTGTAAATCTGGGAAGCACCACAGAGCCGAGAGATGCTATAAACAAAGCCCCACGCGAGCGGGAACCTCGGGAGACAGAGAAGACAGAAATAGAGTCGGAAAATCGGAGTAAGAACCGCAGGGGGGCAGGAGAACGGCTGGCGGGTGAGGATGCATGGGGCCTCAGTGGGAGCGGGGCCACGCCCGCACAGGTCACCCTCCTGCCCCCGCACTCCAGGCTGCACCCTGCCGGCTGCTGGGCCCGAGGCACTGATGGGGTGAGGACCCCCAGGGTTCCTGCTGCTCTGAGGCCCAGCCATGGCGTCCCGGGGAGCTGGCGCCACACACGTGTCAGTGCCCGCTGGGAGCACAGGTGGATGCAGGCCCAGCTCTGCTGACACGGAACCAGTGTGTCTGAGCTGAGCCCAGTTCTGCACGCAGGAGCCCAGAGTCAGTCCCCGCACCACCAGAAGTGACCCCAGTACACAGACTCGACTTCCGGCTGCTCACCAGGGGCAGGAGAGAGTGCCCAGGGCAGTGTGGGATAGCACGAGGCGCCCGTGTGGGTGGGGTGTGGGGGTCAGGCTGGGGCCAGACAGGACCCAGTGGCTCTCGCAGACTCATCTGGGAGCCAGACCGCGCCCCATGGTGAGCGGGGCGGCCCTGACTGCTGTCCAATGTCCACCTCCACGGCGCTCTGAACGCTGGTGCTCTTCCCGGCCAGGACCCCAGCCCCTTGCTCAGGGTCCCCACTGGCCCGAAGGCCCCTCCAGGGGCTTCTGTGTCTCGGTGGGCTGTGACTATCCCTGGAACCCCCTGGGGCCCCCAGCTGAGGAGCCAGAGCTGCCATCAGAACATGGCAAGCTGCAGCGGGGCTCCTGGGGCCACTCTGTCCCCAAGTACACACTGTCCCCAGGTGCACTCTGCCCCCCAGTTTCCCGCTGTCCCCTGGTGTCACTCTGTCCCGTGGTGTCACATTGTCCCCTGGTGTCCCTGTCTCCTGGGGCCCCTGTTCCCTGGCATCACTCTGTCCCATGGTGTCACACTGTCCCCTGGTGTCACACTGTCCCCTTGTTTCCCTGTCCCCTGGTGTCACACTGCCCCCTGGTGTCCCTGTCCCCTGGTGTCACTCTGTTCCCCGGTGTCACACTGTTCCCTGGTGTCACTATCCCCTGGTGTCACACTGCCCCCTGGTGTCCCTGTCCCCTGGTGTCACTCTGTCCCCTGCTGCACCGTGTTCCCTGAGAGTTTGGAGCAGGTGGCCCCTAAACGTGTCCCTTGTGCTTCCTGACCTTTGAGCTAACCCTCGTCCCAGAGAGCCAGCAGCGCTGCAGTGGCTGGGTGGGCATGAGGCTCCCAGGGGTGCCCGTCCCACACTGGGAGACGAGACCTGGTGAGGAGCCTCCTCGGATAAAAGAACCAGCCCTCGGCCCCGGCGCCCCCCGTCCAGTCAGGACCAGACAGCAGCACCCCGTGTGGGGACACTAAGTGTCTTTTCCTGCTGATCTGTCTGTCAGAGACGTAACTGGACCAGGGGCGGCAATAGCACACAGGGGGACATGTGTCTCACACGTGGCCAAGCCAGGCTTGATGCCCATGGGCTCCCTGAACACGGCCCCACACCCGACCAGGGCCCTCCAGGAAGCATTTGGGAGCTGCCAAATGTGACAGCTGGGTGGCAGTACAGGAAGGTGTCCTGGTCACCTGAGGCCCGAGCGGGGTCCCCATGAGCAGGGGACTCTGCTCCCTGGCCGCACCCCCCGGCTCCATGCCCCCAGGCGGCCCCCTTGTTGCTGGCATGGTCTGGGGGCATTTCTACCTTCTGCTTCTGCTCTCAGGGGGCTGGACCACTCTGCCCCCTGCCCAGCACCTCCCACACCCTGCAAACAGGGGCCACTGTGAGGGCCCCTCCCAGCAGACCGCCCACCCCCAAGACCTTCTGTGGTGTCCTTACAGGCCACCTGCAGGCTAGACAGGGCAGTAAGCGGGCAGCCCGGGGATACTCACGTCCTGCCCATGCCAGGCCCACCCTCAGTTTGGTGTGTACCAAACACATATTTTATTTGTTTGACTTTTATTTTGCTTTTGGGTCATACCCAGCGATGCTCAGGGGTTACTCCTGGCTCTGCACTCAGGAATTACTCCTGGCGGTGCTGGGGAGATACTATGGGATGCGGGGGATATAACCCAGTTTGGCTGCACACCAGGCAAACGCCCTCCCCTCTGTGCTATAGCTCTGGCCCCAAGACAGATTTTTTTGCTTTTTGGGTCACACCCGGCAGGTGATGTTCAGGGGTTAGTCCTGGCTCTGCACTCAGGAATTACTCCTGGCGGTGCTCGGGGGACCCTATGTGATGCTGGGATTTGAACCCATGTCGGCCGCATGCAAGGCAAACACCTTACCCGTTGTGCTATCGCTCCAGCCCCCAAGACACATTTTTTAAAGCAGGGAGAAGGGTTTTGCTGGAGCGGGGTGGGGGTGGTAATCAGGGATCAGGGATCGAACCCAAACCCAGCCTGTGCATGCAGCTCCCATGCACTGTGGCTGGGACAGGGCTTCCCACAAACCAGCCCGTCTGAGCCACCTTCTCTCCCCAGACGGGTAGGGCGGGGTGCCCGCAGCGGGGTGGGGGGGGCATGTAGAGCCCTCGGTTTGCAGGACGGACCCAGAGAACTGGGCAGCCCCAGCGGCGCCTTCATCCAGGAAGGACCCAGCTGCTCGGGGGCCCCGTGGGGGCCGGGGGTCCCAGGAAGAGCGGTCAGACAGCCCAGGACTCTGTCTCGGCTCACCCCGACTCCAGGTGGGTGATCAGGATCGATGCTCTTTCCAAACTCCAGCTAACACTGCGTCTCGCCCAACACCAGGCCAACTGGGGCCTGGGAACCTGCAGAGCTGGGAGGTGGGACAGAGGCGGGCATTGGACAGCCCCCGCCCCCACAAAGCCGTGCAGACATCAGGTCGACTCAGAAGCATCCTCGAGGGGTCTGTGAGTTTGCGGGAGCACCTCCAGTGGTGCGAGGGGTCACTCCAAAGTCTGTGCCCAGAGGTGGCCCCAGCGGGGTGGGGTCCGGTGGTACTGGGGAGAGGGGCTTCTCTTGGGGGAGGGTGGTAATTGGGGATCAAACCCAGACCCGGCATCCTGCACACACAGCCCGAATCCCCCACCCCCAGCCCAGCAGTGTCAGGACCAGGGCCCAGCTCGGCCTCCGGGTGGGGTGACTCTTGCAGGCCCCAAAGCAGCCCACGACCTCAGCCCCCTCCCGCCTGTCTCCTGCACCATCCTGTGGTGAAAGGGAGATGCGGGACCGTCAGGGTGGACACAGT